AAATTGTGTGGAGATTCCTTGGGCTTTTTAACCTTCAATACATCCCTGCAAAATTCGAACCACTTCCCGATTTGTTACATGCAGCAGGGCTTCAAACGTCATCGATGACGTCACTCTCCATAAACATTACAAGCCTTGATATGTGCTTCACTAAACACTTCCTGGATCTGTCGACACGCTTCGAAGCCTTGGCACAGCACGTCCCATCACTATCTTTTAGTTCTCTTTTGTCTGGCTGAGCTCCTTTGGGGTTTTTTCCCCCCCCTTTTTGTCTTTGTTCCTTATCCTTTTTATTATAGACTATTAAGACATCAGTCCTAGACTGTGTCTGCATTTTGGGTCCTACTTCATACTTTGACTTCATTACATTTGTTTCACATATAACTAACGGTTACCTTATAATGTTGTGTGTCATGTAACATTGAACGTCGCTGCAATGCCACTGTAAACTCTGGGCTTTATATTCTGTATACATTAGTTCTGAGTCAGTTACAGGTGAGCTACCCGACTGCCACAACTGTCTTTGGCTGTAATGACCACATATGATGTAGTTTTGGAGTCGGAGGCTTGAATTTGTTTTGACTCTCACTTTCACCTTAATGGTGAAACGTTTAAGAGAAAAGTTTATTAATGCAGTTTTAATTTTTCTTAGTGTTTACGAGTAGATATGTGCAAAATGAATGATCTTTCAGTTAGTCTTGCTTGCTTTCTGCATAATGAGTTAACGTTTAGTACTTTAGGTACACTTTGATGTTAATACTTCTGAACTTTTAAGCAACAATTTAAATGCAGGACTTTTACTTGTGACAGTATTTTTGCACTGCAGAATTAATACTTTTGCCAATTGTAAGTAAACAGACTGAGTACTTCCCACACCACTGTCTACATGATCCTAGAAGTAGTTATAAATGCAAAATATATTCATTTTGAAGACAGTACTTGACCTGAATATATCAGTTCCTTCCTTTTGTTCTGTCTCTGTGCTGTGAAATACTTTGGATCAGTTGAGTGTAGTGAAGTATCAGAGCTGTGCTATCTTTTTAAACTGACTGTCCTGAGGAGGGTTTGAACCTCTCTTGTTCACTTTTTCATTCCTATGTCATTTCTCATGTAAACAATTGTGTCTAACAGTATGAATATACTCCAGGAGAGACATCTGCACTGTTATCCTCATATTTAAACAATGTTGTTGCCCCTTCCTTTGGAACAACTGAATATTCTTGATTTCCCACAATCCCAGTTGTACAAACTAGTTGTTGTGAAGCATAAAATAACCCTTGTATTACATTATCTACAAGTATACCATTTTGAGTTAGAGGTAGGCAGTGTTGGCAGATATAGATGCGGATGTACAGTAGATGCAGATCAAAAAACAGACATTTTAGTCAGCTGCCCACAACAAAGTGTTTCCAACAAATGTTTAATTTGACCAGAAACATACAAAGCAACATCTTCCATAATGCTTTATTTTGTGTTGTTGGTGTACTAACCTGCCTGTTCCTCCTCTCTGTCTCCCAGTCTTTCTTGTTTGAAGTCAGAGCTGAACAGTCATCATGGTGGATGAAGCTGACATGCGCAATGAACTAGCTGACCTGCAGACACGTGCAGATCAGATTGCCGATGAGGTACAGTACAAGACGCATACAGATTTGTGTACGACAGCAAGGTGTAATTTTTTGTATTTTTCTGTGTAATTTCCTTCTGGGCAAAATAAGTTTGTCTGGAAATTACAATGGGTGCATTAGGGAGTGCTACGGTAGTCAAAGATTTACCAGGAGTCATTTGTTCTCTGGTTTGCACTTATGCACCTTGATTACACTCATTCAATTTAACAAAACCTGAAGTCATGAAATATACAATTTGACAAAACCTGATGTCATGAAATATTTTGTCACATACACTTCTGCACTTTACATGTAATGGAATGATTCATTTCAAAGAGGAAAAACCTGTTTGCTTAAAAAAAAAGAAGCATCATACATTATCTACACGTTTAACAATTTGAATTGTCATTTGCCAAGCCAGAAATCATAACATAGATTTTAACCCAGATAATCGTTAGTCAGTCTTGATGAACACTTGGACTGCCTGCCTTGGAATGGCTGTCTGCCATTCTTTCTGTTGTAGTATCCTCTTTTAGCAAAAAAATAAAAAATGTCATAGTAGTTGGCACTGTAGGTGAAGGATGTAGCACAACAGAAAGCAGAAAAACAGAATTTGACTTTAGTGGAATACTTGGTCTACAGCCAAAGCTAACTTTGGTATATGACATGACAATGGCCTGGCCTCATAAGGACACAAATGTATCAGGAAAGCCTCTGGACTACCAGACACAGCTGCTCTAATGTGACCCCTCCTTGTTTTAGCAAGTCTCTTTCATCAAGACTGTGCTTTTCTTGGATACTAGGGAACTTTGCCCTTTTTAATGAGTTGAGAGGAGCTCAGGAAGAGCAGATAATTCTGTGCAGCAGAATAATAGAGAAGCTCAAATGGCCTTGTTAAATATTCATGAAGAGATAATGCAAGGCCAAGAGGTTCCACACACGACAAAGAGAGAAATAAGAAAGGCATGAATGGGTGGAGATGAGAAGATTACCAACAGGGAAACGGCCAGCTAAGGATTAATAAAGTGTTTGGTTTAGGAAATGGAGGAGATTTGGAGGGATCCTGAAGTGGGTAGAAAATTGGCAAATGAGCAGTAGAAATCAAAAAATGAATCCAGTTATCAGAAGAGAGAAACAATCAAGGCTATTCATAAGTCAAGATAACAGTAATTTGTCTGTCTACACTGATTAGTGGTTCTCCTTAGTTCACCTTCCAACATACAGTATGCTATGTTACACTCAATAGTCCACCCTAACACTGATATACTGCATTTTTGTGATATTTGATCCGGGTGCTCCACTCTGTATCTGCTTTGACTCTCCAATGCCCTCTCTCTTTCTGTCTTTCTCTTTTATAGTCTCTGGAGAGCACTCGGCGTATGCTGGCTCTGGTTGAGGAGGTGAGTCGAACAGTACAATGACACACATTGCGCTACCAGTGTCGACAACAAGGGAATAAGCATCCTCATCTGATTACACAATGGCTTGTCTTGATTTTCATTTGATATCTTCAGATAAATTTCTCTTGCTAAGTAGTAAGAATGTGTTAGGTATTTTCTTAGTTAGGTAGATATTTAGGGATTTGTTGTCTAGAAATATGTAAGGCAGCTCAGGCTGTTGGGTGCTCAGTTCATTGTCATGAGTTCTGCAGGCTGCATCTAGGCCAAGGTCAACTAGATTGAAGAGTCTGCCGGCAGATGAATATTGCTAGTAGCATGATATGTTCAGCCGTAATCTTAATCATAATATCTTCAGAGGCTTACTGTTCGGACATGTCCCTGATTGGCATATCAAGTGACGTCATGGTTTGACTAATCAACAGCCACACACTTTAATATTCTTCATGTTTTGACTACTGCTCTGGTCAGCTGCATAGTTGGCATATCAAGTGACGTCATGGTTTGACGTGGCCTGTGTAGGATGGGGCTAGCCCATCGAAGTGATTAAATTGTATAGAGATCTTGGGTTCAGGGTCTTTCTTCTTCCGGGCTGCCTGCGAGCAGCTTTGGGGGTGGAAGATGCCTGGACGTGTAATGTTAATTCTTGCCTGTGACCCTTTGAATAAACCAGCACGGTTATATTTTTTATATATATCCAAGTGGTCTGCGTCGTCCCTCTGAGTTCCTGGTTGAAAGAACTAGGCTAAATCTTACAAATGTCTCAAGTTTTACTGACACCCCTTTACCTCTACACTATATCTGATGTAAAAGTGTCATTCAGGGTGCGTATCCATTGACAGGGGGGAAGCTTGGATTAATTTGTATAAAATTCAATTATTAATGCCCCATGCCTGTTTATAGAGTCATCCAAAGAGGTGTTATGGATAACAACATCCACTTCTTTTTTATAATCAAGAGTGACTATCCTGTCACTGAAATCTCCCCACACATAAATCACCTCAACTTCCGATCATAAACACAGTATATTTGATACAGAAGATGGTTAAAGAAAAAACAAAGCATCTTTTCTCCATACCAACATCTGTGGTACGAAAGCAACAATACCATCCTGATCTCAAATGTAACAATGTTAACCTTCACATTCATCCACTTGTGTCTATAACTTCAGTTCTGTATACTTCCAACAGATGATTCATAATGTGAAATCAACCAACAGCCCAAGAATTTTTAGGTTGAGGTTCACACTTTTTATTATCAAATTAGGCATAAACATACAGATTATGTTTTCAGTGAGATGATATCCAAGGAAAGCAGAATAACAGATTATAACAGTTTCCTACTGTCCATTTTGTGCTTTTTTTTTATTTGACTGGGGAAACTCTTAAACTATTCAGTTGGATAGGATTCAACACATTAATGTCTAATAATTATCTGACTGATTTATTAATTTCTAACAAATTCCCCCTTTTGACATGATTTTTATCGTGTCAACCTAAATCAAATGTCCCTGTTGTCCCCAGATTAGACATCCAAGGAGGAGAGAGGCCCCCCCTTACCACCCCCTCCAGGGAAAGCCCAGAGCTGAGTACCAAGGGCAAAATCTAAAATAATAACATAAAATAATGGCATGTAAGCAGGTCTTCGTTGCAGTGGCCCTATATGTAAACTTCTATGTGAAAGCTGAGTCTTCATTGCAGTTTTAGCATTTTTCAGACAAAACATGGAAATGTCTAAACAACATGTAGCAAACATTCATTGGTTAATCATAACATTTGCAGGAGGAATCCATTATGCTGGAGACTAAGGATCTTCTTCCAGTATCACACATTTATAACAAAATTCTACTCAGTAATCAAAATCAATCACACACCTATGAGTCCACATCACCTACGTGCATGCAAGAATATATGTGGATATGTATTAACCCTTAGCAATAATATGTGGGGAGATCACGGTCTTCTTCCCCGTCGAAGGGGTCCTCTTCAATCTCAGTTTCACCGGGCTCAGTGAGTGAGATCATTGGGCATAGTTTCCCATGGAGATTGGTATTGAACCATCTCATAGGCAGGAGTCAAGTATCTATTATCAATGGCAGTGGTGATACACTTTAGACAAAGATGCCTAATGCAGAGGATGCAGCCGCATCCACACAGGGTCAGCAAAGTAACTGCTGTCACAAAAGATGTAAGCAAAGAAACCACCAAATTTTTTCACTTGCCAAAAATTTTAACAAACCAATCATCAATGTAATTTTGAATTCCTGAATGGTCAGCCATCTCTTCTGATAAAATTTTTAACCTTGTCAGAGCCCTAGCAATAGAGCCATCAGGAGCAGTGTTATTAGGAATGTAAGTACAACACTGTTGCCCAATCATAGTACAAACACCCCCTTTTTCATCCAGAATGAAGTCTAATGCCAATCTTTTCTGATATGACATAAGAGAAGCAGCTGCCAGTTGCTCCTGAAACCCAACAACTAAATCTCTGGTAAGATTAGTAAGACACTGAACATTAAACTAGACAGAACAGTATACAAATGTATTTATCAGACTGTCATAATTGCTCTTGCTGTGGCCACACAGAGCAGTCAAGAATGTCACATGCATCTACCATTAAAGTGGAAGTTTTACCCAAATCAAAAACCAACTCGAGTGGAATCAGGACATTAGGTCTTTTCTCATGGTGTATGTGGGACCTTGTTTCCCACCACAATATGGGTACCACTATAACTAGGCTAACGAGGCCCAGAACACAGAGAACCATACCAGGACAACTGCCTAAAATTGTTAGACTAGGCATTTTATCTGCTGTCCCTGCCAATGTTTTTGTTCTCTAATAAATATTACACTAGGGTAGGTCCTCTTCTAACTGTGGCTCTGGTTCTGCAGGATTGTATATCAACTCAGGTACTGAGGTTCTTAAATCAGCCCTGACTTCATTCACTGTCCATCCAGCTGGATCCTCAGCTGGAGAATAATGTGTCTTATGGATCCAGTTACTTAGCATGTTCTCAGTGAGCCACAGTTTAACACAGTGTGTAGTAGTTTCTGCTACCTTATAAGGATCTTTCCAACGTGGCTCTGACCAGTGAAGTTTATGCACCTTTTGATAGACCCAGCTGTCCACTGCAACTGGTGTTGGTTCCTCAGGTTGGTCCCTGTGCAGGATTTCAATAACCTGTTCAGAGACACTCATCACAGCATTGTTCAGTCATTTGACATACTCATTCATGTTAGCATGCTGTAAAAGAAGAAGTGTTGAATCTCTAGGCATAACAGTTAGAGGACAGGGCATTTTTCTCCCTGTCAGGATTTCATGTGGGCTTACATTAAGTGTCGCATTCGGAATGGACCTGAGGTTGAACGATACAATAGGTAGAGCTTCAACCCAGGTTAGGTTAGTGTCTGCGCAGACTTTCGTGAGCCCTTCTTTTATAGTTCTGTTTGCATGCTCAACAAGGCCTTGAGAGGCTGCATGATAGACAGCCCCAAACTTATGTTTTATCCCAAACATGCGCTCAACCAGACGTAGATCATCATTTGAGAAGTGTGTTCCATTATCAGATCTGATAATTTCAGGTACTCCAAACTGGGGGATCACTTCCCTAGTGAGCCACTTTACCTCTTTACCTGTCTTTGTTTTCGTGGGTACAGCCTCTACCCATTTGGAAAACGGATCCACACAAACAAGTAAATATTGTTTTCTTTCAACTCTTTTATCAGCTCCCATATCTGTGAAATCAACAACAATCTCTTTCCAGGGAACATCTGGAACTGGAAATCCCCCTAGCCCCGCCTTCATCGCGGCTCTGGGGTTGAACTGGTTACATGTCTCACATGTTGTAACAAAGTACTTGGTGATATCCCTCAAATACAGATGTCACCAATTTTGAGAGATCAGACTATTTATCTTGGAGCTCGCACCGTGTCCTCCACTGTGGTCTTCTTGACACAGCAAACTAAGCAGTCCTGCTGGGGCTACTATTTTACCTTCGTGGTTTCTCCACAGTCCTGTCTGATCCTTAGATGCCCCTTTGCCTAGCCACGCCTGTTTTTCAGTAGGAGCAGCTTTGTTCTGTATTTCCCTTATAGTCTGCAAGCTCAATTCTGTCTCACAGACATGACCCCCTTCTGCAGGGTCTTGACTCATCTGTTTAGCTCCCTGAGCTGGACCTTCTGGGTCCTGAGTACCTGTCCTAGGCTCCTTAAACTCTGACCCCTTAGCCCTGGATCCTGTCTGTACTGAGCTTCCAAAGCTCTGACCCCTTAGGTCTTGGTTCCCTTTCATAACTGAGCTCTCAAAGCTCTGACCCCGTAGGTCTTGGATCCCTTTTATAGCTCCCTGAGCTACCTGATAACCAGCTGCTACCTTGGCAGCCAGATCTGCTGCATTATTACCTCTGTTTATCTGATGTCCCTTGCACTTAATAATTGCCACCTGCTTTGGTAGCAACAATGCTTGATCTAGTTCCAGTAACTTTGTCACAAAATCTTTTCTTCTCCAGTGGAACAAGTCTACTTGTACTGCCTGTACCATGTAAACATTAATATCTAATAATTATCTCGCTGATTTATTAATTTATAACACTGGGATCATGATTGTTTACACTATTATGGTTATGAAAGCAGCAGCCCATTAGCACAAGACTGGAATCAGGAAGTAAGTGAGCCTGGCTTTGGCTTCATATTTCATGTACAGATGTGAGTGATATTGACTTTCTCATCTAACTCTTGAAGCAAAAATGCATGTTTCTCAAAAGTATCAAACAATGTCTTTGACTATTTAAGAATCCAATTTTCCTTCAGATTTAGTTTTAGATTTGGATATTGGTAGGAAAAAAATCCAGTGTATATTGTTAAAAGTGTATCAGCAAGTAAGGAAGAGAGGGGGTGTAATGAATTCTGTTGCAGGAAATTAAATCTTTGTAGTTTGAAAAGGCTTTATCAAAGATCCAGAAATACATGTGTTTTCATGAGAACTGTTATCTTCACACCAAGTCTGCAAGGAACAATGAGCAACTGCTTCATAGAATGAAATGTGAATGATGTAAGAGAAGAGAGGGGAGAATTCATTATTAAAGGTGGACATGACAGTGATGCATGCCTAGAAATCCCTGCACAAGAGTGCCATACTTTGTCATTTACAGTTTGAGTCTTGCATTTTTTTCCCTTTTAGAGGTGTTTTTAGCTGGGTATGGGCAAACCATTTTGTTGTTGTTGTATAGCACTGTTCTAAACCCAAGGCAAATAGGTTGAATGTGATTCTCTGTGGGAAGAAATCACTAGATACTTTAAAACAATACTGTGACATTTTGCTCTGTGGGCAAATGCACTGTTCATTTGCTATGGAACACTAAGCAGACTTATCGTTTTCTTACTTAGTTAGAAAAGAAGTTTGAAACCACTCACATTTACCTTTTAAACACAAAGCAGTCTGCTTAAATTAGTGTAACTACAAAATCTACCTAAAATCACTATATAACATGTCTTGCTGGTTAATTTGTACAAAAACAGATGCAAAAAATGTTAAGCTGTGGTTTTAAGAGTAGTTATGTGCTAGAAGCCTTTCTTGGTCAGGAGCAATAACATCCTGACATTTCTACTGGTCACCTGGTAATCTCACTGTGATGATACCAACACCTTTTGTTGAAACCTGGTAGATCAGAATCAGAATCTGAATCTGCTTTATTGGCCAGGTTTGTCGGACATATGAGGAATTTGACTCTGGTACATCGGCTCTCAATGTGAATTGTATTACCGTTAGACAAAGCCAGGGTAGATGTTTCCCTCTGTCTATAGTCTTTAGCTGTTGGCGCAGTCATACCTGTTCTGGAAAGAGATGAGAATGATCTTGTCATCTAACTCTGAGCAAGAAAGCAAATAAGGGCACTTGTTAAAATGTCAAATTGTTTTGTCATTTTAAACTGATGAAAGCTACTGAATCAGTGGTTATGGTTTGCCCATAACTTATTAAATGTACATAGACACCTTTAATCAGTCAAATGATCTTTTAATTTGATTCCAAAATGTGTTTGTGATGGAGAAATAAAAATTATGAGAGATTATCATTCAGGGTGCATAACCTTCCATCTACAATAAATAACTTGGATTAATTTGTTTTAAACTAATAACGCTCTATGCTTGTTTACAGAATCAACCAAAGAGGGCATATGGATAACCACATCCACTTCTCTTTTATAATCAAAAGTGACTATCCTGTCAGAAATCACATAAATCACCTCAACTTCTGATCATAAATATATTTGACTCAGAAGATGGTTAAAGAAAAACAAAGCATCTTTTCTCCATACTAACATCTGTGGTGACAAATGAAAGCAAGAAGATACATGATACACATGTATCTGCAAACATTAGCTCTGATGAAGTTTCCATGCTGAGATTTTTTTCCCTCAAAGCCTATGTAAATTAGCCTATTTTCATCTTCTGATTTGACTGTCATCCAGAGAAAAGACTGACTGCTCATTCATCATCAACATTTTAACCTCACACTGATACAGATCCTGGCCACTGACAGTTCTCTTTTACAGTCTGTTAGATATGACACTGATATTAGTATCAGTCTAACAGGCCTCCAGCAATGGTCTCTATCTATCACTACTCCAAGAAGGTCAGAGCACACTTTGATCCAAAATCTTTCATGCATAAACTGAATGGCCTTTGGATATTAATATCTGTCAGAAGATGCCTCTGGCTCATGGAGAGCATGAAGTTGTTTGATGTGTGCACAGTGATTAATGTGGTTATTGTGTACTCACTGATGTGTGTTATGTGATGAGTCCCATGCACAGAAAAATTACAGCATATGAGTCTGCATGGATGTTAATATTCTCCATGTACATGTGTGTGTGATTGTGCTCCTGAGCATGTGCCAACTCTGTAAGCCAAATCAGAATGTTACATTACTGGAGTTATGTCAAAAATATCTGGTAGCAGCTGAGTGAACAAAACAAATATAGCACATGCCATTTGGTGGACAATTTATCCCAAGAATCTTTGCAGAATCATGCATGAATATATTTTTATGAGATTTTAATATTTTCTCTGCAGTTTTCTCTTTTTTTTTCCCTGAGGTTTTAGTAAGTTTGCAGTTTTGTTTTATGACTGGTTGTTGAGTAGTTGGACCTTGGCAGTACTTACCCTCATGTACACATGGATAGGTTACTGAATGAGACTACTAGGCACAGTTCCAGGGGCCCAAGGGTCAGGAGGCCCCTAAAACCAGACAACTATGAATGGCTGTTAAGCTTTCATTTGGAAAGTCAATCAAATTATTACAAAATAGATGCAAAACTACAAAGACATACAAAAACACTTAATAGTCACAAAATGATTTTAAAAAGACAGTAAAGACCCCAAGGACAGAAAAACAACTACAAAAAGATACAAAACTATTGAAAAATAAACACAAAACAAGTAAAAATAGGTGCTAAATGCCTACAAAGTGGTTAAGATCAAGGTCAAAGTGTTTATTTGTCATATGCACAGTTAGGAAATGTGTTTCCCTGTACAATGAAATTCTTACTTTGCCGTCCACATGAATGCCACAAAATACAAATGAAATATAAAGTAGATAAATAAGTAACACAAAATCTAAGGCATTTAAGCAGCAAATGCAGCAATATAATAAAAATATATAAGAATATAACAGAGAATGTATTCTGCATGGAAGCAGCATATGCAGCAATCAACAGTCATTGTGCAATTAGGCATGTGCAAACTGAGAATGTAAACAGTACATCACGTATTTCCTGGTAATAAACTCCTCAGCTGTTTAGGAGTCTGATGGTAGAGGGAAAGTCTAGTGGTCCTGCATTTCACACTTCTGAACCTCCGGCCAGAGGGTAGGGAGGTGAACAGTCCGTGCTGGGTTGTGGGTGGGATGTTTGAGGATGGAGGCAGCCTTCCTACGCACCCTGCGGTGGTAAATGCTCTGCAGAGAGGGAAACCTCATCAGCCTCCTCAGGAAGTACAGCCGCCATTGGGCCTTCTTGACCAGCTGTGTGGTGTTATGTGTCCAAGTCAGGTCCTCACTGATGTGGACACCCAGGTATTTGAAGCTGCTCACCCTCTCCACTTCGAGCCCCCGGATGAACAGTGGCTGATGAGATCTCCTCTCCTTCCTCATGTCCACTATCATCTCCTTTGTCATGTCCATGTTGAGGCTGAGATTATTGTCCTTACACCATGACACCAGACTGGCCACCTCCCTCCTGCTTCGTCCTCACCAGTGATGCGACCTATTACTGCGGTGTCGTCCGTGAACTTTAGGATGATGTTGTCTTTGTGGGAGGTGACACAGACATGGGTGAACAGGGTGTAGAGGATGGGACTGAGGACACATCCCTGTTGGGTGCCAGTGTTTGTGACAATGTTGGCTGAAATCCTATTGCCAATCCTGACAGACTGGGGCCTGCCAGTCAGAAAGTCTAGGAGCCAGTAACAGAGGGTGGGGTGCAGACCCAGTGTGGACGATTTGTGGGTGAGTTTGTGGGGGACAACTGTGTTGAAGGTGGAGCTGTAGTCAATGAAGAGTAGCAGCAATGGCATCTGAGGTGGCCCTGTTGGGCCGGTAGCCATACTGCAGGGGGTCTATTGACCTCCTCTGTAGTGTTTTATTCCCATGACTTCCTGGATCAAATGTAGTAACTGAAATCTTCCCATCTGTCAGCTGATTGCTATAATTTAAAGGAGTAGTTTGATATTTTGGGAAATATGCCTGTTTGCTTTTTGCAGAGTTAGATGGGAAGTTTGATACTGTACACTATAGCTACAGACAACAGGTGGTTATCTTAGCCTAGCATAAAGATTGGAAATGGGGAAACACTGAGCTTGGCTCTGTCCAAAAATAACAAACCCCACCTGGCAGCACGTCTAAAGCTCACAGATTAACTGGTTATATCTCATTTGCTTAATCTGTACAGTGGCTTTCGCTCTGTTCTGCTTTGTTGACCTTCACTGACCTGTCATATTTTTCTCTTCTGTTCTTTCTTCTTCTCCCTCTGTCTGTTAGAGTAAAGATGCTGGCATCAGAACTCTGGTCATGTTGGATGAGCAGGGAGGTAAGTTGGTAGGGAGAGATCACTAATCCCTACATCTCTAACATCTGTTTACACATTTACCTGTTCTCCTCTACCGATTCCCTCTTGCTGCTTTTTATGCTACTGCTTTTGAACCTTGATTTTGAGCATTCTCAGGTTCATATTGTATGTGGAGTGCAGCAGTAAATGGATATTTTACACAGCACTAAATTAAAATGTGTTGTGCCACACAAACGTCTTAGATAAAGATAAGTTGTGAGTATATATTTACACCCTGGCCAGCTGTAGCTTAACTGACAAAATCAATGTTAGCTTGCTAATACAGGATGATGAATAACAGAGGTAATGCAATATGGATGACACATTTAGCACAGGATGACGCTTTATCAAAGCCATTTACTTTGCAATAACAAATAAACACAGCAATAAACATTTAAATCAAATCAAATTTTATTTGTATAACACCAAATCACAACAAAAGTCATCTCAGGACACTTTACAAAGTAAGGTCTAGACCTTACTGTTATCACTATTATTACATAGGGAAAACCCAGCAAATCCCCCTTGAGCAAGCACTTGGTTACAGTGGGGAGGAAAAACTCCCTTTAATGGAAGAAACCTCCGACAGACCCCAGCTCTTGGTGGGCGGCCTTCTGCCTCGACCCGTTGGGGTGAGTGGATAGAGGAGAGACAAAAGAAGAAAAGCAACAAGACACAACAAACAATCAAACACTGATCAGGTTGATGTGGCTGGTGACTGCTCATCAGAAACATAGAGCTCCAGGGCCAGGGCAACCTGCAGAAAAGTACAGGGAGAGACAGAGAACACATTACGGGAGAGAGGAGAGACAAAGTTAGTAATGTGTAATGGTGGCATATAGAAGCATAGGGAGAGAGGAGAGGAGAGGGGAGGAGAGAAACTCAGAGCATCATTGGGCCCCCCAGCAGCCTAGGCCTATAGCAGCATAACTAAAGGAAGGTTCAGGGTCGCCGGATCCACCCCTAACTATAAGCTTTATCAAAAAGGAAAGTCTTGAGTCTAATCTTAAAGGTAAAGAGGATGTCCACCTCGTGAACTGAGACTGGGAGTTGTTCCACAGGAGAATACTTGATAGCTAAAGGCTCTGCCTCCCATTCTACTTCTGTGGATTCTAGGAACCACAAGTAAACCTGCACTCTGAGAGCGAATTGCTCTGTTAGAAAGATAAGGCTCTACGAGGTCTTTAAGATATCATGGAGCCTTGTCATTAAGGGCTTTGTATGTTAGGAGAAGGATTTTAAATTCTATTCAGAATTTTACAGGGAGCCAGTGGAGAGAAGCTAATATGGGAGAAATATGATCTCTCTTGGTAGTTCCTGTCAGTACTCTGGCTGCAGCATTTTGGATTAACTGGAGGCTTTTTAGGGAACTATTGGGGCATCCTGATAGTAAAGAGTTGCAGTAGTCCAGCCTGGAAGTAACAAATGCATGGACCAGTTTTTCAGCATCACTTTGAGATGCTCCTGATTTTTGTGATATTGTGCAGGTGAAAGAAGGCAGTTATATCTTTCAAACTGGAATTTGGCTTTATTCACACTCAGTTCAGCCATTTTGCAGTCTACACAAAGCTGATTTCACAGCTTTAAGTTCATTTTGTCCATCTGATGCTACAGTTTATCTTCCATTCCTCTAATATATGTATACCAGAGATCGTGAGCCATGGTCTGCAGGATTGTGCTCTGTGGGGACATACTTCCACTGGTCTCATTGAGAAGATTGCTTTATTCTCTGCACCCGGTTATTTACTGTACATACACATGGAATCTTCTGTGTTGTTTGTGGATGTATCCCAACACCACTTTGCTGTCAATGTAAAATGTGGTCTTGTCAATCTTCATCTTTAGTTCTTCTGTAAGAAGCTCAGACATTTCCACAGCAAGCACGGCTGCACAGAGCTCTAATCTAGGGATGGTGAGCTCTGGCATTTGGGCCAGTTTTGCCTTTCCCATGACAAACCTGACTCAACATGCCCATCTTTGTGGGTAACCTTCAGGTAGGCTACTGCAGCTATAGCTTTCACTTAAGCTTGGAGAATACACAAAGTTCAATTAACGCGGCTTGTGAGACAGAAAATGTAACATATGTATGAGGAATGTGCAGTGTTTTCAGACTCTCATACATGTCTTGTGGCAAGGGGCTGTCCCACTCAAGGTTGCTGCTGGACAGCTCTCTGAGAAGAAGTCTGCCTTTGATAGTTACGGGTGCCAGTAGTCCAAGAGGATCAAATAAACTGTTTACCGTGAAGACCACCCCACGGCGGGTGAAGGGCTTCTGCTCCTGTGTAACATCAAATGTGAATGTGTCTGATGTAGTGTTCCAACTCACACCCAAACTGCACTGGACTGGTGGCTTATCTGTCGAAAGATCAAGGTCTTTGATTTCTTTGGCCCTGTCTTTGGGGGGAAAGGCCTTCACTGCTTCCACTTTGTTGGAAGCAATCTTGTGGAGATGTAGATTAGACAGGGCAAGCATTTTTTGGGCCCTCTGTAGGACATCAATAGCCTCTGTTTCAGTTGAAAAAGACTTTAATGCATTGTCTACATAGAAGTCCTGCTCTATGAAGTTTCGGGCATCTGTCCCGTATTCAGCTTCTGCTTCTTTTGCTGCCATTCTCAACCAATAGATGGCCACTGCTGGTAAGGTGCTATTGCCTAAGACATGCACCCTCATCTGGTAGTCTACCATGTTTTTGGACAGGTCATTGGCTTACTACCACAAGAAGCGGAGATAATCTTTGTGCTCTTCCTGGATGACAAAGCAGTAGAACATCTGCTTGATGTCAGCTGTGATAGAAACAGGGTCGTTCCTGAAGCGAAGGAGCACACCTACAAGTGTGTTATTTAGGTCAGGCCCTGACAGCAGTACATCGTTGAGAGACACTCCATCAAACTGCGCACTGGAATCAAACACCACTCGAATCTTCCCAGGCTTCTGTGGGTGATAGACACCAAAGGTGGGGAGATACCAGCTCTCTTTGTTTCTGTCATGAGGTGATGCAAGCTCTGCATGTTTGTTATTGTTAGAAATAACCCAATTTTTTTGTTGGAAGCGCGAGAAGTGAAGACAGGAGAAGATTGTTTAAAATCAACAGGAAGTTTACTCAAAGTCTGGGCACAGGTGAAGTCCATACAGCGCTGGGATCAGAGAGACAGAGCTCCCGCAGGAGATCCGTTCTCTGGACCATGAGTTACGTTTTCCTAATACATTTATCTGCTTGGGCTAGGCCCGCCCTGGACACAGGTACAACATTCAACACTTCGTAATCCTGTTGGCCATTTGGTGTAAGCAGGAGCTCACACCTCCTTGCTGAAATGTGGTAAACTCCAGGTATATGTGAGTGTGTGTGTGTGTGTGTGTGTGTGTGTGTGTGTGTGTGTGTGTTTCTCAGGTGGCAGCTTGATCTTGATCAATGAACACTGAACAATGGGTGGTCTGGGCTGCAGGCCACCCTGTGTGTGTGATGCTAATAAATATGCTAAACTGGCCAGGTGGTCATCTCAGGTTGTAGGCCCCTGCCTCTGGGACACCCCATGACAAAGCAGAACTTGGAATATGCTAAGTGGGTCTAGGTGAAGGTGCAAAACAGGCCAACAGGTCTGTTAAAATGTAAAAAAGGCTGTCTGGTTACTTGGAGATACAGACGTCCTGTCTCTACAGAAGTTACAACATGCAGTTCCAAAGTTTCATACAGCAGTCATCAATACAGTTTTAATATGTATAAGCAAGGAAAATAAAGGTATGAAAAGTAACTAAAAAAATGGGCTGAAAAGTAACTAAAGGAAATTAAAATTATGAAAAGTAACTAAAGCTTATACAGTAACTAAAGCCTATAAGAATCAAATCTTACATTATCGAGAATTTTCTGCATGAAATCAGTGAAGTGTGCCTTCATGTCTGGCTTCTTGTCAAGCAAGCATCGCAGAGACATAAGGCGTTTATAAGCATAGTGCCTGTCAGGGAGTAGGCGTCTGGGGCTTTGAAACGGGAGTAGAGCGACCCAGCTGTTAGTGTCGTCTTTGAAGAACCCTTCCATCTTCTTCAGAAACATCATGTCCTCAACAGAGTATGCAAGCTGATTGTCCTCATTGGTGTGACAAAACACATTCGCTCCTAGATTTTCAGCAGTGGACTTTGTGTGTGAGTTTGAAAATAGCAGTGGTTTGGGAATGGCTTTGGACTGGCTCATACTGAAGTCTTCTTTGACACTGAAGCGGCTGTCGCAGGGAGTGAGATAGCTTGGATAGCCATTGTCCAACACATGTTTTTTTAGAGACTTCATCTGGCTTGTGAGTGCTGCCAAGACACACGTCACCAACAATGACCCAGCCTAGGTCAAGCTTCTGTACAAATGGATCATTGTGTCTGCCACAGATTTGCTTCCTCACTTTGTGAACTCTGAGAAGATTTCGTCCTATCAGCAGCAGTAAAGCAGCTTCTGTATTGGGGATTTCCTCCCTGTTTCTGGGAATTGCATTGCATTCTATGAGAGTGGGAAGAAGAAAACTCATTTTTCCATCAAATGTCAGCTATGTTGTCACAAGCTCTTCTACCAGTCACTTATGTTACACCAGAACAGGTTTTCCGAGTGTATGGTGTGGTTGCGCTTTGTATATTGAATATGTTGAAAAATTGTCCTTGCAAGCAATTGGTTACTTTGATCGTTGTTGGACTAAACCAGTCCTGCATGTTCTTTTAGGAAGAATGCTCAAAGACAAATCTGTCCTTTAAAATATTTATTACAATATTTAAGAAAAGCAATACAGAGCTCTGGATTCCGTTTCTATCTGAAGCCCCTATCCACACTACAGAAGTATAGCGCACAGCTGCTGCAGGAAGCGGGAACCGCGAGTCTCCTCTCCACAGAGAATTTCTAATACAGTCATGACGGTAGATCTGACGTCATCTGTGCTGTCCTTCATCCTCGTTCCTTGGTTGGTTTGTTGACCTCGTTCTGACCCCTAATTTGATGATCTTGTCGCCA